CAGTTCTGGAGTGCAGAGAGCAGAGCCCATGATGTGAGGTAGCACTGGGCAGCATGTCCCAAGGTCTCACTTACGTGAAACCACCTTCGGGCAGCCCCACCTTTGAAACCACTCTGCACTGTGGACCTGTGATGGAAAGGGCCGCCCTGATGATTTCTGAATTGTTTTTGAGGAGACTTTTCCTTTGTCTTCAACAGTAGCTCATGCTCCTGTTGAGGTGGCTGACTAATTTTATCAAAGTGTTTTGCCCACACTTTTAGTGTTCTCTTCTGACCACACTTTCTCATTCTCTTCAGTATGGATAGGCTGAGAGTTCTCCAAATCTTAAATTCTGCTTCCTTTCTGATTAACAGTTCTGCCTTTAAATCATTTCTTTCTTCTGGCATTTTACTATAAAAAGTAATTTTACTATAAAAAGGCCACTCCTTCAACACTTAGAAATAACTTCAGCTAAATATCCGATTTCATCACTCACAAGTTCTACAGTAGAGCTAGAAGATGAACACAGTTCTTAGCCACTTTATGGCAAGGGTCACCATTGCCTCATTGTCTAATAATAGCATGTGCCTGATTTCCATCAGACCTCATCAGAATCGCCTTTACCTCCCATATTTCTACTACCATTCTGTTCAGGATTAACTCTGATATTCTTGGAGAAGACTTGGGTTTTCTTTACAGTCTCCTCTTTTCTTAATCGGCTGTCACTAGAATCACCCTTAATCCATTTATGGTAATAGCCTTTTTTCATGTGCACCCCAAAATTGGCCCAGCTTCTCTCCACTACCCAGTTCCAAAGCCACTTCCACGTTTTTAGGTGTTTGTTATGACAGCATCCCACTCCCAGTATCAATTTTTTTATCATAGTCTGATAGGGTTGCTGTAACAAAATACCATACACTAGGTGGCTTATAAATAACAGAAATTCATTTCTTACAGTTGTGGAGGCTGGGAAGTCTAACTTCAAGGTGCCAGCAGATTCAGTGTCTGGTGAGGACCCTTTCCTGGTGCACAAACAGCCATTCTTCACTGTGTCTTCACTTGGCAGAGGGAGCAACCTTGCTCCCTGGGGCCTCATTTATAAGGGCACTAATCTTATTTATGAGGGCTTAATCCCGCTGACCTAATTGCCTTCTAAAGGTCCTACCTTCAAATACCATCAGAGCTGGGGATTGGGTATCAACATATGAATTTTGAGAGAATGTGAACACTCAGTTTCTGCAACCATATAAGATATATTGCAGGTTCTAGGGATTAGGACATGGACATATCTTTTTCAGGGCCACTACTCTGCCCACTGCAACTGTTTTTACACAATTCTCAAAGCATAGTATTAGAAATCAAGAATTGGTTGGTGTGGGATGTCCATTTTCAATTCCTCATAAATAATTATGTGCTGACTTGTATTATTTTTTTTAAATTTGCCCATTATCAAAACATCCTTAGTTAATTTGACTTTTATTATCAATTAGCATTCTCAGAGTCCTTTTAACTACAGCAGTGGTTCACATCTAAAAATAGGTTTTGTGTTACTGACATTTTGTGGGCCATGCACTATCTTGTCTGGTTGTCAAAGTAAATCAGTCTATAGGATTTAAAAGATGGTCCATCTGGAAGAGTAAAAGAACCTCTCTGGAATATATTCCAATTTTAATTCAATTACCCGTTGGAAAAGAGAATTGGTTCAGTTTAATTCCTGTTGGAGGATTGGGCGAGTTGTCATGTAAACTTAAACATTGCACGTTAATTTGACACTACTCTATCTTTTTGTATAAGAAAATGCACATAGAAATCTTAAAGACTAGTTCATTATTCTTTAAGGAACATAGTAATTCCTTTAGGTGAAAACACAGCCACTTTATAGGTAGGATGTGAAGAACAAGTCATGCTTTATCTATAGGCTATCTAGATTAATTTATAGTGAAGTCAATAGTCTCCTAACATCCATTGATTTAATTTGGGACTTAGACTGCTGAGTACGTTATTTCTGGACTGTATTTTGAAACGTAGACTTCTGGATGGCATAGACTATTGATAAGGGTTCATAAAATTGATTCATCCTGATTTAGATTTGGGTAGTTGAAGAAATATTCACAAAGTATATAAAGGAAATTCTGATATTCTGTACAACTAAATGAAAAAAGACTTTAAATGTAACACTAGAGTTTAACCATTGATCATCACTGATAGTTTTATTGTTTCTTTGTCCTACATCTTCCTTTCAGATTAATCAACCCATATCTCTAGAAGGCAAGGCAGGGTTTGGGGCTTCAGCACATCCGACCACATATGTTTTTTTTTTAAAAAAACACTTGAAATAGACAAATGTTTTTAGTAGTTATTAAGCCACCCTATTGTCAATGACAATGGTATATTGTAGTCTATATACTCAAAAACATTATAGACAGGGTAGATGTAAATAAGCTGAAATAATGATGAATTTCTAAAGACTTTTTGAAGGATAGTTAAGGTTTAGAATTACAAACATCAAATATTTGAATTCCAGTTGACAAGACAGGCAAAGATAATGTGCAAGAATTTAAATTTGAAAATTCACCATTGAAAATAAAACTGAAGAAGTATATTTGTGAGCAGAAAGAGCAGCCTCTGAGGTGCTATGTCAAAGTAGAATCAGTAACAATACGCCTAACAAAAATACTAGTCTTGATACCAATTTAATCACTTATTGGACATTGCATTTTGGAAAAATCACTTTGTACCTTTGATTCTTTATGCCCCTATCTCTAAATGTTACTAAAAAAACTACTTCTTCATTCATGGGATTATGATAATTAATTGAATTTTTGGAAAAAAGTTAAGCATTTTTTTCATGCAACCTGTTATAAGTAAAAGTCATCATGAAACAAGTGGCGTATATGTGAACTGCTAAGAAACCAAATTAGCTGAGAGCCTAGTCCAACTTCTAGCTATAGTAATTAACACAGCTTTTTGTAAGGGCGAATAAAATTTGTGCCTCCTTGGACTTTAGAACGCAATCTCCAAAATAGTTGCGTTCCCAAATTAAATGAAAGTCTTCCCATATTCTGAAGAATTGTTGATCTCGGGGTGCTCAGTTTTCTAAACATCTGCCTTCAGCTCAGGTCATGATCTTGGGGCCTGGGATTGAGCACCATGTTGGGCTCCTTGCTCAGTGGTGAGGCTGCTTCTCCGTCTCCCTCTGCTCCCCCTCCCCATTCGTGTTCTCTCTCTCTCTCTCTCTCTCAAATAAAAATCTTCTAAAAAAAAGATTGTTGATCTCCTGTTTTTTTAGTGTGACACACAATTCTAAAGGACTGCTTTTCATTTTTAAAGCTAAAGACCAATATAGGGATCATATGAATATATTTGCATAAGCATGTATTAAAATAGGATACTTTAATAGATGTAGAGAAGAGGACGTAAAATAGATTAATATAACTACCAAGCAGGAAGTTGTAGCTTCCTGGATCTTTTGCCAATTTGTTGAAAAAGGCCATGGATATGGGTTGATCTTTCTGTAAGAAAATAGGCTAGCAGTTAGGTTAAAGCACTGAAAGGTTTGTAGAAATGTTGGAGAGCATTTAGAATGTGGACTTGTCAAGATCTCTTGTTGTGGCCTCCATGCTGACCTCCATAAAGCATGATGATAATTAAGCATAGACTGAAAGGTCAGAGCCCAATTTTCAGAAATGCCTCAGGCTTTCCTCTGAGGCTTTGCCCTGAACTCAGGGCAGCTGTCTCTGCCAGAGGAAACTGACAGAAATGTATTTCTTCAAAATATGAAAAGGGTTTTCTGCATTTGAGTGGGCTGGTAGTAAGATGGGGCTGCCAACTCTGAAGTTACCAAGGCTCCTGGAAAGCCCAGAATAGATGTTTCTTCTCACGCTGTTACCCCAGACCTTTTAACGTAAACTCTTTATTCCGAGCAGAGGTTAAAACTTTAATTTCAGGGGCACCTGGGCAGCTCAGTTGGTTAAATGTCTGACAGTTGATCTCAGGGTTCTGGGATGGAGCCCCGAGGCAGGCTCTGCACTCAGCAGAGAGTCTGCTTGAGATTTTCTCCCTTTGCCCAACCCCCTGCTCATACTCTCTCTCTCTAAAATAAATGAATAAAATATTTTTTTAAAAACTTTAATTCAACCTTCTCCATTTTTCAGATTTTTCTCATGACTTTATAGTTCCCTGACTAATCTTCATTCTAGTCCCCACCCTCAGTTTCTCACTGACTTGGCAGCTGGATCATAGGCTTTCCTCATCCTCTCATACAAATCTCATTTGGCCTGGTGGCTCTGTTGCTCTCCTTCCACACTTTAGGCCCTGCACGCGAAGCAGGCAACTGGTTATTTAATTCAAAGAGTTGACTTTTTGTCAACTTTAATTTAGGCAAAGGAATGTCCAACCTCAATAAATTAAACTCTGAGTACTAGCTTCTATATATTCAGCACAAGATTACGTTGAAATAAAAGTATTTGATGTATTATGGAATTTTAGCCTATTGGTCTGTCACCCAGATCTGATTAAGAAGTTTTCATTCTAAATCAGAGGATCCCTAAAATACTTTTAGTCCTTTTCATGATCAATCTAATTGTGAGACATATATGTTACTGATAATATTTCCAATAATTCTCTTTTAAACTTTGTTTCCATTGTCAATGGATAATATCTTTTTTTTTGATAATATCTTTAAATGAATTTTAGAGTAAATTATCTAAATGAGTATAGGAAATTGAGTGCCAGCAAGTGAATGCCAATAAATTTCCTTCTCATAACGGTAGATATGCAATCTAATGTTATTTTTTTTAAAAACCTATTTCTTCATTTTGTACTTATAACTTTTTTCTCATGCATATGTGTTTGATCATTTTGTTCATACATTAGGAGTTCTATCAATGGATTGACAAAGAAATTTTGCTAATTATTAAAATATGGGCACAATATCCTGGGATGAATAAAAACTAGCAGCTCTAATGAAGCTTATGGAACTCAATTATACATGTAACCTTCGGTGTTTTTCATTTTTTTAGGTAATTGAGAGTCTGTTCTACCTCTCTCCCTTGGCATTGTCTTCACATACCACTTCAAGGAATAGTGACTAGGCTCGAAAGTTCCACAGATAATCCAAAAAAATCGGTTCAAGTTGGCATCTATCAACAGGTAAAATTACACTCTTAATTCCTGTTTGTCTCGATTATTTCCATAAACAAAAGGAAAAAGACATAACAGCTATGAGTTGTGAAGAATATTAGACTTGTGCACAGAAAGATAACATGAGACCAGTATGTATGAATTGGATCTTGACTATTGATCAACCCAAGAGTTGTTTAATAATGAACAGATGGTAATCTTGGAAGTGTAATTTTTCCAAGGTTAATTGGTTAGGGTCCACTCCATAATGATTTAGGTAAGAGATCATAAGATACCAATTTATGTGGAAAAAAACTAAATAGCTAAGAGATAAGTAAGTAAATTGGTATGAATAGTGACTCTAAGCCTGGAGTATGCAATTATAATTAAAATCAAGCAAATATGCTGAAAACACATACAAAAATCACATACAGAGATAAACTGGTGAAAAACTAACAATACAAAAAAGAAGGAGGATTATGGAGAAAAAATAGCTCAATCATATAATCTTTTTTAAGGGCCTTCAGTTTTCTATGAGCATAGATTCCTGTCTATACAATAGAAATCACAACACCAACCTAGCTCATTAGTAAATTTCACTACTCATATTTATAACATGATTGGGATATTAGTAAATTTCAATATTTATATTGATATAATAATATTTAAATAATGTATTTAAGATTATTTAGAAATGTGGTTTTGAAGTGACTGAAAAACAAATCATCCAGTTGTATTTCTAAGTGTTTACAATAGTAGATGTGATAAAAGTTACAATAGTTTAAACTCATGAAATAATAATGAAAGACAAGTTCTTTTATGCAAACAGGAAAATTGCAGAGAACTGCTCTATTTTAAGTTTCATTTTTATTATTTACCTATATGAATTTTTGAAATCAAGTTCTTTCAATAACTATGGGCCAATTAGAAAAGTTTAATGTACAGAATATTTCCATCTAAAAAGTACATATAGAAGATCACTGAAAATATGCTTGATATAATTTGACAGTAAACAAAAATTAAACCCATCTCTGTTTTTTCAGAAATATCTGTTTAGTTTTTTGGTGGGTTTTCCAAAAACATGTGGCAAAATTAGTTTTTATTAACTTACCTCCAATATTTTTTAAGGATTTTATTTATTTATTTATTCATGACAGACACAGAGAGAGAGAGAGAGAGAGAGAGAGAGAGAGAGAGGCAGAGACATAGGCAGAGGGAGAAGCAGGCTCCATGCACCGGGAGCCCGACGTGGGACTCCATCCTGGGACCCCAGGATCACACCCTGGGCTGAAGGTGGTGCTAAACCGCTGCACCACCAGGGCTGCCCTACTTCCAATATTATTTTACCAATAGAAAATGGTTTCATTTTCCTCTACATTTCAAGTGGAACATGTTCACAAATAAAATGAGAGTAGTAAGAAGATATTGAGAAATGTTAACAACACAGCTAAGAGCTAGGCAAATAGCATTATTCAACAAAGAAACAATGATGTTAGGGAACCAGATGATTTTAATTTAACTTCAGTTATGTGAATCTATATGTGATCATTTCTTCCACAGGAGAGTGTGTAGTGCTCTATACCGTAAAGCTAGCATAAGTGTTCCTAGGCACATCCAAAGAGAAAGTCCTGTCTTTTAACAAACAATAACATACCACCTATTCGTTTATCACTTTTAGTGATTTTATCACTATGAAAAGTGTATAAAATATATCATTCATTAAATAATAAGTAGCACCATTTGAGAAGTGTAGCAAAATTAATTCATTAAAGCCATATAACTCCTAATGCTACAAGTCTAGAGAATAGGTCCATGCTGAAATATTTTTAAGTATTCTCAATTATTAAAAGTAGAAAAGTTCTAAAATCCTTCTAATAATCTAATATTTTTAAAAATTAAAAAACCTATTTAATTCTTTAAAATCAATCGGATTTAATACATGGTCCTTTTTAACCTTTGTAAAGAAAATCTTAAATATTTTTGAATTAAGAAAGTATTCTGTTTTTAAGTAATGACAGCTCCATTTTTATTACGCTTAGAATTCAGATTGAGATAACTTTTATTTTTAGGTTGGTACTTTAGTACGGATTTGAATTCTTTGAGTAATTTTTGAGTAGTTTTTATTTCCATAAACAAATTAAATGCTCTCAGTGTTTAGCCCATAACAAAGTTACATATCTCAATCCACTTTTTTTGTTAATTTTTGAAGATAAGAGTATTAAAAATATTCATGAGAAATTATATACTTATAACCAGAAAATGCTGTTTTGGTGACTATCAAGAGTAATATCTGAAAGTGGAAATATAGTTTAAACTGTTATTTCATTGTTTTTAATAGGTTACTTGAATTTCAAAAAGAGGAGCAGAAATGCCACCACCAGTAGGTGCCCCACTACATCCACCACCTGATGGAGGCTGGGGCTGGGTGGTAGTTGCAGCGTCTTTTATCTCCATTGGATTTTCATACGCATTCCCCAAAGCTGTCACAGTGTTCTTCAAAGAAATTCAGCAAATATTCAACACTTCCTACAGTGAAATAGCCTGGATATCATCCATTATGCTGGCTGTTATGTATGCAGGAGGTAAGGTTTCTGGGAATAAATGGAATTCTAGATTAAGAAAACAATCCTTCCATGCCAGTGTTTTACATGTAATGTCTCCGTATGTTAAAGCTCTGTTTTTGTATTATAGTCACTTAAAACCAACCAAAAATATAATTCCAAATGAATTTTTAATAATTTTATTGACTCAGCAGCATCTTGAGCTATTCACTTCATTCTTTAGTATTACTAAATGAATGAATGAATGAGGATTTCTCTGAACAAAATAACATTTATTTAACTTATGGTTACCTTAATGTTTAACGTTTACTTTACTTAAATTATGGAATTTCCAAGGGAGGCATGATTCACTTTAATCTGGCATAAAGTCTATACCATAGTGTTAGCATCATTTCCTACCATTATTACGGTTGGTAGAAATGCTTTCTTCTTAATGAGAAAGAAACTCCAATTGCTGAATCTGTAAGCCTATGAAGTACTTTCACCTTCAGCTGCAAAAATGGATGTACATTTTAGATCCATTCAAATTCTTTTGATGAAAATAAATCCTTATCTCTGTAGTACTCATTAAATATGACATTTTCAAAAAACATTTACTTATTTTGAGAGTTAGGGGGAGGCAAGAGGTAGAGGAAGATGGAAAGGGAGAGAGAATGTCCATCCGACTCTTCGCTGAGGCAGAGCCTGACATGGGGCTCCATCCCACAACTGAGATCATGACCTGAGCCAAAGTCAGGAGTTGGACACTTAACTGACTGAGCCACCCAGGCACCCCTAAATATGACATTTTAAAATGTAAATGGTCGCCTGACAATCATCTTGTTACGTTTGATGTTCAAATGAGGGTAAAATTCATGTGGGTTAACAAATCAAAGAACCATATCACTTCTGAATGTTTAAAGAAATGGAATTATAGTGCATTATTATGTCACTTATTTTCCTTAAATCCATCTCAACAGCAGACCCGTTGGTCTCTACATTTTTTAAGTCATTATCTAAAATATTTTGTTTTCAGAATTTTCATTTTTCAACTGGATATTTGACTTTAGGAGACAGATGTAGACTCAGAATATAAGCACTGAAAGAAATCCTACAAATCACCTAGCACAATTTCTTACCTTATAGTTGAGGGTAATATGGCTCGTAGTGACATGGATATACCATTAGCAATGATATCCAATATTTGTTAGTATTTACTTTCAGCTAAGTCCTCTCTAAATGCTCTCTCTATGTGTCACATGATTTAATCCTCTTAGCAATGTGTGAGATAAGTATTATTCTCTCTCCATTCTATAACAGGAAATAGAGACATAAAATAGTTTCTCAAGACCAACATCTCATTAGCGGCAGATAGAAATTGAGACTCCAAACATTGAGTCACTGAGCTTTTCTGCCTTTCTCATATCTTCCTCTTTACCTCTAGAAAGTGATAGAGCCAGATCTAGGCCAGGCCTTCTACTGACGTGATTCAGGCGCTACCCCTACCAAGGTCATTTGTCAATGACATAATAATTTTTCTATAGGATATTGTCTCTTTATTGTACTACCAAGGTGAAAATTCGATCCTCTAATGATCCTCTTTGTGTGTGCATATGCATGTGAGTGCATATTGGTATGTGTTTTCCACTTTGTATGTGTCAGTGATTTTACATTAATCCAGTATGTCTCGGGATGCCTGGGTGGCTCAGTGGTTGAGCACCTGCCTTCTGCTCAGGGCATGATCCCGGGGTCCCGGGATCGAGTCCCACATCAGGCTCCCCATGGGAAGTCTGCTTCTCCCTCTGTCTGTGTCCCTGCCTCTCTCTCTCTCATGAATAAATAAATAAAATTTTAAAAATCCAGTATGTCTCCCTTACCTTTTAGTTAGGTTAAATTGCTGCATTTTTGTTTCACTACCAAAAGTTATCTTTAAAATGCTATTTTAGTGTATCAGTGAAAAAATCTGCTTCTAAAACACTGAATATCTCCTTGGACAGTTGCTTTAAGGATTCTAACTGTATTATTTCTGATGACTATAGAAACAATAGACACTAAGTACCTAGTTTTGTTCCTTTATTGCAGGGATTATATGTTTTTTAATAGTGTCCTGAGCTCCAAAATATGCTAATATTAAGATACATAGTTTTCCCCCATTCTTAAATACAATTGAAACAGATTACTCTAGTGAATTCATAAAAGTCTACTGAATTTGAACTATACAGTCATAGTTTTATATTGAATAGGTAGTTGACTAACTCATAACCAAGACAGAAATTTGTATAACTTTTTTTGTTAAGGCAAGTCTTGACTTTTTTAGTTTTAAGCAAATAACCTCAAAGCCCCAGTACCTCAAAGGAATACAGGTTTACTTATTGCTCAAGCAATGTTTCATCTCGTTCCTAAGCCGCCACCTGAAACTTTGTGGTGTTTCCAAAATCTGCTCTGCTTGGCTACACAGAGCATGAACACAAACAGCATGGAAGATCATGTGGGATTTCACAGAGAGGCAGAGACACAGGCAGAGGGAGAAGGAGGCTCCCTGTAGGGAGCCCGATGTGGGACTTGATCCCAGGACCCGAGGTCACACCCTGAGCCGAAGGGAGATGCCTAACCATCTGAGCTATCCAGGTGCCCCCAGTATGCATGTTAAAAAAAAACACACAAAAGAGGGGCACCTTGGTCCTCATTTAAGTGTCTGACTCTTGATTTCAGCTGAGGTCATGATTCCAGGGTCATAAAATGGAGCCCTGCATTGGGCTCCACACTCAGTTCAGAGTCTGCTTATCTTTTTCCCTCTGCTTCTTCCCTCTGTTCGTGTGTGTGTGTGCGTGCTCTCTCAATAAATAAATAAAAAGCACAAGAGAGAACTCTTTTGAAGCTCATTAAAAAAACAATAGTTTGGGGTGCCTGTGTGGTTCAGTTGGTTAGACATCCAACTCTTGATTAGGTCTTGATATCAAGGTCGTGAGTTCAAGGCCTGTGTTGGGCTCCATGCTAGGATGGAACCTACTTTAAAAAAAAAAAAAGTAGTTTGGTTAAGTAAGTAGTTATCAGTTCTGGGGGGAAAATACCTTAAAATGTTTAGGATAATAGATGAAAAAAATCTGTCTTTATTAACAATCGGGGATTTTCTGGTTGTTTCAAGAAAACAAATGCTAAGTACATGAAAAATACTTAGTATGCAGTAATTGATGATGATAATATCTAGATGAGATCTACCAAGTAGTTGGAATATTGCTTAGCATCCTTAGTCATCAGAACTAAGACATTTTATCATTACTGCCCATGGAGAAAAATCAGTAATTGCAGAAATTCTGCTGCACTGTGGTCTTTCCCTTGAAAGTGGAAAAGTAATCCCAGGTGCATGGCCTGTAGGGTAAGAATGTTATTACTTGCCATTTCCACTGGCTAAGGGATAACTCATTACACATTACATGGTTTATTGCAAATAATATCTGTGTCTTACCTTGATAATTGTTTTCAATCTTTTAACAAGAAATCACTGGTACATTTAAAACTATAATCTCAATATGAAAACAGTCCCCCTTATGTGGAGGCAGATAATTTTTTTCAGAAACATAATAACTATTTAGAACAAAAAAAAAATCTGATAGTTTCAATTAATCCAAGACACAGATATTGGTCCTGTTACCAAAGTGGTAGTATGTTTTCAAGTAAGGTCCATAGACTTTCTGCTTCTAAATCGTGTCTCTTATTAAAAATGCAGAGTTTTGGGTCTTCTCCCAAATCCCTTTTTAGCAGAATTTCTGTTGGTGTAGTCCAGAAACTTGCATTTCAACAAGCATGCCTGAAAAACACTTCATGTCCAACATACAGATTCACTGTTGTAGAAGATCAATAATTGATTTAAAATATTTAAATTATCCTTTAATATTTGAAAGATCTCTATTTATACAGACCTTTTAGTTGATGATTATAAAATAAATTCATAGACCACAAGGTGAAAAGCCATGTAGTTTAGTGTGAAGTTTAATGAGGCTCTCTACCAAGTAACTGAAATACTCTGTTCAACATAATGCTAATTACGTTAGCCTAGAGAACATCTAAGATCTGACACACTCATTAGGGCTTAGCACGCAACCTATTAATCACTGCGGTGGGGTCACTGGGTAAGGTGGAGTGTGTTCTGAGGCCTGGCCTGTGATGTCAGGACTGGAGTCTCTTGTAGTAATTAGTTGGCATCTGAGCCTCGGTAGCAAGGTATTATCTTCCCTTTTGATGTCTGAATTAAAAATGAAACTAATAAAGGTATGCAGGAAGGATGGAAAAGAATGCAAATTATGTTTATACCTTACTTCATCCGCAGAATAATGACATTAAATTACAGCAACCCATCTGGTCATCCATATGGTCTCCTGGAGTTCTACCGAATTTCAGCAAATAGGTCAAGCACAGTGGTCACTCCATTAATAAAACACTAAGTAGAGGTAGAAAACATATTACAAATTAAACTTTCCAGGTTGTTTAGATGGATATAGGGATTTATTTTATAAACAGTGATTATTCAGGATAATCTTTCAGTACAATGTTTGTCTTTGTTACTCTATCAAAAAATAATGTGAACATTCTTAGCTACACAATTACTGAATACAGATTTGGGGCTGCCAATCTCTGTGAGGACCTCATGTTATTTTTCTGGTAATATCTGCTATGACTTGGAAGAAACAGCCATTCTGGAGGGGAGAGTTGGCTTTGTCTCCATGGTAACATACTCTTCTGTTTTATGTGAGCGGGGACTGCCAGTTGTATTAAGGGAAGGGTGATGGTTTTATGAAGGAATACTTTACACAGGGGGCCAAGCATCAGACCACTCAGCCTTTGTTACTGGAGGCCAAGAAGCAAAAGGTTTCAGGCACGAGATGTTGGTGGGCATAATATATAATGTGTATTTTTCTATTCTTTTTTTTAAGTCTAAGTTCACTATATTATTTTGCTTTGTGCTCTAAATATTTTGCAGAACGAAGGAGCCTATTACAATAATTCATATAGTGCTGTCTCTTAGCAGCAGCCAAAAAAATAAT